TATTTCTACTTGAATATCGTATGTTTTTTTTAATATTAATTAATTTCTTGATTGTGTTGTTTGAGTGTTTTCATAGTGTGAAACTAATCCAAATGATGATGGGCATATGTTTCGGTAACTATACTACTAGGGTTGATCACCGTTTCATCTATATTGGATTAAATACATTTGTAAAAGTTTCAAGCACGTCGATTAAGACGATAATATAACTCTCGGTAATGTACTGTAATCAAAATTTGAATACGAACACATTAAGACTCATGGTTTACTCTAAACTCTAGTGATGTTAACCGTCTGAGGTTGGCATTCAAAGATAACCAAAATTTTAAACAACCGCGACCAGTGTTGTATATGTACACATAATGAAGCATAGACATACAAAAGGTAAGTGTTTTTCATAAACAAAGAATGTCGGACAAGGAATCATCTTAGAATGTTAAAAGAGTATGATACGACTTGGTCAACCAGCTAAATTGTGACGGATGAGAACCTTCTATTATAAAAGTTAATCATATACGTCATCTTAATCATCATATATTCGTATTGATTAAATCCCTTTGTAATCCCAATAAAAAATTATTTTCCTGTATTATATTGTTCTCCCATCAAACATCAAATTAGTTTTTTTTTTATGAAAACATCAAATTAGTTTCCTTCTACCAATATTCTCACTCATAAAACTTGACCCATTTTAACGATTGACCTACCACTTTTACATTATAATTGTGCAAACTTGCTAACCAGCAAACCTGATCCTCTATGACCATTAGGGGTGGCAGTTCAATTTCAGAATTTTGGTTTTAATCAAACGGTTTTACATGCTTGTCGATTTTTCTGAATGAATAGAAATCGAAAAGTTCTTAACGATTTATGTTAAAAGGTAAAATCATTATTCAGCTGATATAAGTCCGTAAGCCTTAACACAACTATAAAGGTTCATTTCCTGATATTTTCTTGATGAAATCAAATTTGAGAAGGACTTATATGTTTTCTCCAAGTAAATGTGACTTGAACTCACGGTTTGTCATTTTTCGGTCGAACGTTTATTATGAAATTTTCAATTTATTATGAACGAACTCGAAATCGTGAAGTCTTATTATTTTTCTCCAAATCACGGTCAACCGTTTCTCAAACATAAATATGTTATTCGGTCGATTGCCTGAAACGATCAACCATTTTCTTCAATTCACGACGACTTGCATGCTACTATAGCAAAATCAAGTCATGTATAGATTTAAGGAAAATCATTTTAGTAATTATGAAACTAATTTTTACTAAACTCAAGATAGGAGAAAATTATGCATAGACAAAACCGACATTCAAACATCTATTAATTAACTACTCATATATCTTAAATAACTATAATGGCTAAGGGCAATCGAGGTTTATATTAATTCAGTTCTATACTTTTATAAATATTTTTGAGATTCCCACATTTCCCCGCACCAACTAATATTTTGTTTGAAAGTAACTTAAAAAAATTATTGGGAAGCGTTGAAGCGTGCAAATAATGGGGCAAGTGCGGTGATATATAATAATATAAGGTAATTTCTTTTCATTTTTTTTCTTTGCTTTTTCTCAAGTTTTATTTTACCCTTTTTAATATTCTCTTTTGGCCCTTTTTTCCAGGGTTTTGAAGCAGATCTGGATCTGCTATTTACTCTCCCAAATAGCCTTAAGCCTTGTTTTGTCCAGTTCTCTGAAGACAAATACCATCTGAGAATAGATTTAAAAATTTAAAACAAAAAAAAAATTGGGAAAATACAAAACACGGATAAAGAGATTAAGAGACAGAGCTCGAAACCCAATAGCCACAATGTAAAAATAATACAAACTTAAAATAAGCAAACAATTAAGGAGATTTGGATATATTAGGCACATCGAGTGTTGAATAGGATCAATGTTTATTTACAAGTGACCAATTCTGATTTGTAAACTAGTGACTGAGAATTAGGGATGGAGCAAATCGAGGCGGGTATGTGTTGAGTTGAGTCTATGTTGGGTTTTTTGTTTGAGGGGCGAGACAAGATTGGTCTACCTATACGAATATGTATTGTAACAGTAGAACACTTAAGTAATTTAATTTTTTTGTTAAAATTTCGAGAAATAAATTACATCATGAAAAATTTAGTTAAATTACTCAATAAATTGAGATTCCCGTTTATTTATATTATTGCTAAACTATTATATAAAAAATTCAAAAAATTAAGTAATTTGTGCAATACTTTATGTAATTTAGACAATAATGAGTAGGAAATGGGGCAGGTCAGGTTGAGGACATTAACCATGATCGCCCCGTCCCGCCCCAAAACAATCTAACAGGGTATGTAAGACAGGTGAGTTCAAAATTGTCATCCCTAACTGGAATATATGCATGATTCTTTTTAAGGCATGAACAAACAATTTTGGTTTTGCACTAATCTTAATTCTATATTTTCAAAGATGTACAAACCAATATTCAGGATAAAATGGTGAGCTATATTATATATATTTGAATATATACCTTTGTTATGATGGGTTGGAACTAATAAGTCAAAGAAATAGGTTAGATTGTCTCGTTATCATAGGAACAAACTCATTTAGAGCACCATTTTATCCTGAATATTGACAATAATGAGTCGGGAATGAGGTAGATCAGGTCTAGGACATTAACCATGACCGCCCCACCCCACCCCGCCTCAAAACAATAAAATAGGTTATGTAGGACGGGTGAATTCAAAATTGTCATCCCTAATTGGAATATATGCATGATTCTTTTTAAGGCATGAACAAACAATTTTGATTGTACACTAATCTTAATTCTATATTCAAAGAGGTACAAACCAATCTCCAGGATAAAATGGTGAGCTATATTATATATATTGGATATTATATACCTTTGTTATTGCACATTTTGTAGTCGATTGTTATGATGGGTTGGAACTAACTCATTTCGAACAATTAAGGTATTATATGATATGATTTTACTCGTCTTAAAATGGTTGTGACGAGTGACGACCGTTAGCATCTTAATGCATTGAAATTGCGAGAGAGTTGTAAATTTTAACTATCATAGCAAAACCACCATTAAATTGACGAAAATATGAGAGGACTTGAGTCGAGAAGAATTATTATTGTGCTAACCTATTGAATAGTTTGCATCCCATTCCATTCTCTTTGTGAGCCGCATATATATACCCTACTTATGTTTGTAATTTTTTGTAGTTCTACTTGCATCAGCTATTTTTTTTTCTTACTATAATATTGCATTGACATCATTGCACAAACATTCTAATTACTTAGAAATGCTAGAACTCCTCACCGAAGTATTAAACACAAAAAATAAACTCAATAGTTTCATAAGCTCACACACGACCGTAGATTTGTGCAAAAAAATTTACAACAAAAAATAAACTCAATAGTTTCATAAGCTCAATATATTTATGCAAATAAAAAAACACAAATCAATTCAGAATATGAAAGAAAAAGGGGGGAAAATCCTTTTTTCCCTCTTTCCATGCCACGACTCCAACATATTAATATTAAAAAAAGGCTCCAACATATTAAATTTTTTTAAATACCAGACTGATGAAATTTCAAAAAAAGAGGGAAGGAAAGCAAAGGGGCCGTTTGGTCGAAAATGTTTTGGTTTGTGTTATTTTTTCAATATTTGTAAGTTGTATTACAGAGAGATTGATTATACATTGTTTTGAAACTAGAGAACACACCAGTCCAAAAATCAAACTCACAAGCAAGGGAACTAAAGACAATATTCTTTTTGGATATAACATATAGTTTTGAAAGTGTATAATTTTCCTCTTAATATCATAAAATATTTTTAGCGCAATAATGAATATAGGTTGTGGAGTTCATGAAATGGTTTGTTTTTCTTCCTAAGACATATTTGAGAGCAATTCATATAAAATGGCTAACCTCACACCCCGGGGGAAAAATCGAATTCTTTATATTTTTATATGGTCGATTGCATCAAAAATAAAGTAAGATTCATTAGTGACTCAAGTCCAAGCTAAGTAGGGGTGTCTATACGGTTCGGTCCGGTTAAATTGGACCAAATTGATCCGATTCCAGTCCGATCTTTTCGGGAATATAAGGACCAAAGATTGGATTGGATACAGTCCGGTCTTGACCCGGTCCGGTCCCAGTTTGATCTTGATTTTAGGTGTTGGGGGTCTCTTATCCGGTCTTTATCCGGGTTTTTTTACCTCAAATCTAAGCCCGAATATGAGATTGGATTGTTTGCTATCAGGTCCCAGTCCGGTACTGATCCGGGTTATACGGTCCGGTTTTGGGTAAAACAAAACAGTTCGAGATCAAATAGCAAGCCCTAAAGCTAAGTTTGGTGCACTAGACACAAAGCAACATTATCCCATTACACATATGGGTTCCTCGCGTTATCAGAATGCGACTATGTGAGCTAGGACACTTTCATGAACCACATGAAGAAAATGATCATGAATTGCAATATCTTATCTTTTTATTGTAGAAAAACAATATAATTAAACTCAATAAAATTGTAAGACCGCTTCATTAACTTCACAATACACTCAAATAACTCACAAACCCTAAAAAAAAACACCTCAACAAACAAACCGCGAGAGACCACTTCACCTTTCACAATCGCTCGCTTGTGTTTGAATATTATTGTCACACAAAGATCACAAAGTTTGTTCAATCAAAGCTATTTGTATATGTTCACAACTCGTTCACCATAAACCACCATCTCGAAAAACTTGAAACAAACCGACCTCTTTTACCAAACAATAAGCACACCAAAAAATCGAATTCTAATTAACATTCATACGAGTTTAACACGTTAACCAAGTAATCCGTCTTATAATATTGTCACAACTCAAAACACACCTATACATTTCAAATATGGTAGTTACTATTTATTAGTCAAACCTTTTTCAGATTCGTTTATATTATCCAAACATATTAAAATGTTATTAATTAGCCAAATCTTTCGTAATGTATAAAAATATTATCCGTTTTTACATTATCGTTGATAATTTTATAACCCTTTTATTGGTTAAAATTACTAAAATTGTGGAATGTTAATCTTCATGTGTCTCTTTCAAGTCAACATTACTAACAGAAATTACTAACTAAAAATTAACATTTAGCTAATTCTTAATATTTCAATAAACTTGACTAATAAAAGAAATCAAAAAATATGACCAATAAATATTCATTACCCTTTCAAATAAACAAAACCAACCAAACGCGCCCTAAAACAATTTCTATCGCCCCTCCACTACCGGATGTTCCCTGGAGAGGAAGGACCCCATTGCCCACTATAATTTTCCCTCTTTCCCAAACCAGTCCCCACATTTTCCCAACTTTTCAATTCCCTCCTCCATCTCTCTCTCTCTCTCTCTCTCTCTCTCTCTCTCACTTCCCACTAGTGGAGTGAGTCATCGCCCCTGCAGCTTATCTAAGCTCTCTACAAAACCCATCACATCTCTGCCTGTTCCTTTCCCCCTCTTCTTCCCCCCTTTTTCCTTCCCGGTCGTCAACCGTCCGGTGGCCGGAGAAAAACTCTTCAATCTTCCCTCCTTCCCCTTCTCTCTCTCTCTCTCATGGATTCCTACGAAGCTACCAAAACAGTGTTCTCGAGGATCCAAGGATTGGACCCAGAGAATGCTTCCAAAATCATGGGCTACCTCCTGCTGCAGGATCAAGGAGACCGAGAAATGATTCGGCTCGCCTTTGGACCCGATTCTTCGCTCCACAATCTCATCCTCCAGGCCAAATCCCACTTGGGCTTGCCAATTTCCCCTACGGCGGCGACTAGTACTACTACTACTACGACTACAACTACTCCGGCTACTTCCTCTGTCTCCAGCGCTCCTTCCACTCCTTCCTCCTTCGTGAGGCCGGCCGCTCTCAGCCTCTCAAGGCTGGGCGACGGGTTTGAGAAATTGGGGAACTCGGTTTCTTCCCCTGGTGCTAATTCCTGGTCAATTTTGAGTCCTGGGAATGGCAACCACTATAACGGGAACGGAAGCCACTCTCGCTCTGGTTCCAGCTCGCTTTCCTACGTCAATGGAGGCGGAGGAGGGGGTAATCATTACGGGGGAGTGGGTAATAACAACGGCGGTAATGATTTGGGTGGTGATGAGTATCAGGTTCACCGCGACCACTTTGGGTTTCTCAACGAGTCTAGCTATGCAGACCAGGTGTTTGATCCAAGGCCTGACTTGGGTCTGTTGAGCCCAAGCTCCGGCGGCGGGTACGGCGGTGGTCATGACGACGTTGTGGGTGGTGGTGCCGCCCATTTCCACCGGAGGAGCTTCTCTGTCCCCGGGGTTTCTTTCGGGTCCGACGATGTGGGTTCTCCCGGCGCCGCCGGCGGTGGGTTTGGGTGGAAGCCGTGCTTGTATTTCGCTAAAGGGTTTTGCAAGAACGGGGCGACCTGCAAGTTCCTTCACGGAGGAGACTCGAGCGATGGAGGAAGTTCTCTGGTGGGTTCGCCTGGGAAGCTGAATGAGTTCGAGCAGTGCCAGGAGCTTCTGATGAGATCCAAGTCTTCTTCTGTTCATCAGCAGAAGTTGGCTCAGTTTATGGCTGGTTCTGGCGCTTCTAGTTTCCCTTACAACAAGTGCATGAACTTGCTTCTTCAACAGCAGAGCGATGTCCAGAGGTGAGACTTGAGAGTAATTCGTTTTTGTTAGCTTGGGTTTTTTAGTTTCTGCTTGTGTGTGATGAATGAATGTTGGCTGAGTTTTTCTGATTCCCAACTGCTGCAGATCGGCGGCTGCATTGATGATGGGGGACGAGCTTCACAAGTTCAGCCGGTGCAGGCCGGAAAGATCGACTGATTTCTCGCCGTTGGGATTGGGAGGAGGGATATTGAACCCGAGTGCGAGACAGATCTACTTGACGTTTCCAGCTGACAGTACATTTAGAGAAGAGGATGTCTCCAATTACTTTAGGTACTTATCCTGTTTAATACGAAAAATCGAAAGCTACTTTCTTGTTTTATACACTAAAAAAGTTGGATTCTTTTTTTCCCCCTCCTCTTTTATCTTGTGCTTGAAGCATTTATGGGCCAGTGCAAGACGTGAGAATCCCATACCAGCAGAAGAGAATGTTTGGGTTCGTCACATTCTTGTATCCAGAGACAGTGAAGCTCATCTTGGCCAAAGGAAACCCTCACTTTGTCTGCGACTCTCGTGTGCTTGTGAAGCCTTACAAGGAGAAAGGCAAAATCCCTGAAAAGTACTTTCCCCCGCGACCCGACCCTATCTGATTCGTTCTATTCTCTATTCTCTCTTCTCCTTCCATACTCCTGTTCATGTTCTGATAATTATGATGTACAACTGTTGCAGGAAGCATCAGCAGATGGAGAGGGGAGATTTCTCACCGTCAGCTTGTTCCAGCCCACGTGGGGTTGATTCCAGAGAGCCATTTGACCTGCAACTTGGTAAGTCAGGGTGAGATAGAAGAAAAGGGGAAAAAACAAGCAAGAAGGTTCCGTTGAGCTTCATCCAAGATTCCCCATTTTTTTTTTTACAGCTTTGGTTAAAACTACAGGGTCCAGAATGCTGTACAACACTCAAGAAATGCTGTTGAGGAAGAAATTAGAGGAACAAGCTGATCTGCAGCACGCCATTGAACTCCATGGCAGAAGGCTAGTGAGTCTACAACTTATGGACCTGAAAACCCACCACCGTCAGCAGCTCCTTAATGGTCTCTCCAATGGGTCTCCAGTTTCTTCTCCAACTGGCTTGGCTCGAAGTTTCAGCCATCCAGTACGAGTTAGCAGCATTGATCAAGAAGGAGGCTTTTCTATCCCTGAAGGTTGGATCCAGAGTTCATCATTGCTCTAAATTATTACCCCTTTCATATCCGTGTGGGTTTCAGCGACTTTATGGTGTGACAACGAGAGATACTCAAAATATATTATGCATTAACTTTTGGTGCAGAGAATGGAGGTTGCCTGCATCATGATGATGGTGGAGCAGTAGTTACAGGAGGTGTTGGTCGGGAATTGAATCCTTCTTGTGACAACAACAACAACAACAACAACAGCAACAATTTCAACAAAGACAATGGAAATGTAGAGAGATACTTCACTGAACACAATGATCTCCAAGAAAGGTAAGAAATTTGGTTTCAAAACTGTGTCGGATAGGGAAAGGGAAGACTACTACTCAGAATAGGCAAATGGCAAACACTACAATTTTTGCTCCTGGTGACTATTTGATGCCAGCTATATCCACGTTGTTCTTTTTTTGAAATTAGCCACAAATAGCAGTATATGCTTGTTGCTTCAAAGTTGTTTCCTTTGACTTAATCCTTCCTTTTTACGTCACCTAAATCCCCTTTTACCTTAATGTTTTGCAGTTTGGAACATATCCACCTGCCAGATAACCTCTTCAATTCTCCCAAGAAAGCAGCTGGTGACCATCTCAAGACTGCCTTCTCCTCCAATGCTCCTCTTCTTGAAATTCATGAGATTCCAACAGCCAGTACTGCTGCTGCTTCTGCTCTCTCGATGACTCCTTTGAAATCATGTTTTCCTCAAATGCCCAGGTAACACATTCAACCGGTAAAAAAGTTACTGCCTTTTATTACCCTTTCCACATACAAAAAAAAAACACAGAGAGCATACAAAGCCTGCAATTTTTGTCTCCCTCAGGCTATCCTCCGGGCATGGAACCATTGGCATATGATGAGAGTGCTAATAATAATAAGCCTTGATCTGGAATTGACTTTGGTATTAGGGTAAGTGAAGAGTTTACTTCAACACATGCATCAGATCTCTCATTTGTGTATGCACATGCAATGCAGATAAGCATCCTAATTGGTTTTAAATAGTTTAGTCAACATGGACTGTTTTCATGATGCTGTGCTGTCTTTGTTGATTTTTCTTTTCTATTGCAGAAAAAGATGGCCAGATGAGAATATACAAAGAAAGAAAGAGAAAGAAAATCACAATCACCATCATTATCATCAGTTAGCTGTATAGCCCTAAAAACTATTACTCCCTTGAGCAGGTAGAAGAAGAAATGGTAAAGGCAGAGATCTGTAGACAAAGAAATCTTGGAGCAAGATCACCCATCATCAACATCAATACGTACTCTACTTACAACGAGAAATACATAATTGCATACATTAAAAACCAAAAAAAGTATCAAAAGGACAGGACAAAGGTAGTACTGCTACTCTGATCATTATGTGGTTTTTTCCCCCCCTTTTTTCTTATATGTTTTGTGAAGAGAGGGTAGGGTCTTTTCCTTTTTTTAAAAAATTTCTGTCCTCTCACTATGGAATCTGTACCCTTATTTTATATATAGATCTCTGTAGGTAATGTGCTGGTCCACACAGCACTAATATATATATAGCAGCAACAGGAAAGAAAAGGAAAAAAATGAAGCAGAAAGAAACAAAACCCTAGTTGTTTATTGTTGTTATTGTAGCTCTGTAGCATCAGTTAACAGTAATAGAGTTGAAAGGAAATGAAATGATCTCTCTTTTGCCTGTGTACCAGTCTTCCCTCTCCTGTCCTTTTTTTTTACTGCTGTATCATTTGATGCCTGTTGCTTCTGTGATAACTCAGTACTGAAAGTGATCTCTCCCTCCATCTCTCTCTCTCTCTCTTGAATTTTGTTGCTTACTAGATTTCCTCTACATGGTAGATTAGATTTCATTGTTACTGCTACTGTTAGAAATCTAGATAAGGTGGAGGATGCAGAGGGTTTCTGCAGAGGTTTATCAGTATATGCATGCAGTCAAAAGTGTTGAATGTAAAAAAAAAGGCTGCCTTCAAATTTTCATGACTCCAGATGATTTAGCAGAGAGTAGTAAAAGAGCAAACTGACTGTCAGCCATTGTTAGATCATGGCACTGGCTTGCAGGCAGCAGAGGGGGAAGGAAAAAGAGGCCATTCATTGATGAAGAAGGAATTGGAATCTGATAAGATAAAAATTGAAAATGGTAAAAAAAGCTCAAAAGGATTGGGCTGGGAAGCAAAAGATTGTCTTTCATGTGATTAAAGGCTACTTTTATTAGTGAGGGAGGGAGGAGGGGGACTCTTTTGTCTCATTTTGTGGTCTCTTTTGGGTGGACATGAATGGGTGAGGGCCATACCCATTCATCAGGCCATCACATGGCTTTCTGACAAAGTAACTTATTATGCATATGTACCACTCAAATTTATCTCATTTCTTACTTTGCACCAAAATGAAGTTTTCCCTTTCGGTTCGACCCCCGATCGATTCAGATTTTCGCCTATGTTCCATATCATGGAGCGTGGCGTGGGTGGTGGAAATAATACTCGTTTGTGATATCGGTTCGTATCCGTCAAGCGCAAATATATAAACGATCTGAGCTGTGCATTGTCGAGAGAGAAAAAATGATGTGTAACATTGATGGACTCATTGGGTCATGTGAAAAAGCTTGTTTCGATTGCTCGGGGTTATAACTCAACAAGATAGAATACATTCGAAAGCGGTATGCTACACGAAATGATTGCAATCCATTGACGCTCTCTCTGTGTATCAAAGTGTTAAAGTTTTGTTTTAACAAAGTGTGTATATGGACTACAAATGAGTAGAAGATGACCATGACCCAATGTTTCGCATGAGGTATTGGAAGGTTTATGTATGCCATGACATGTCTGAGTCAAGACTCGATGAGTTATAAAAAAAATCATACAATAGATTGTTTAACAATTCGTTTCGACGCCTGAAATTTGAAAGAGATTGTGCGATATTAAAACCAATCATCTCATATTTGTCAATACTAGCATTTTCATGCCAATTATTTTTTAAACAACATGTATGTGTTTGGAAACCAAAATGTAGGGTACTCTAAAAGCTGTCAATTTGCATGCTCCATCATTAACTCTCAATAATTCATCAGTTTAGCATTCCACCACCCAAATTAAAAATATTACAAAAAAAGGTCAGTTTTCCAAATTTAATTGTTTTTTTCTAAACTATACCAAAACTAAAAAAAGAAAACCAGCTTTTTTTTCTCCTCTTTTCATGCCAGGTCTCCAACATGCAATTTTTTAATCTGACTCAAAAGCGGCAAAAAAGAAGATGAAAAAACACATTTTCCCACTGATAATTTTACTCTTTTCAACAAAGTCCCCATATTTTCAATTTTTCCAACTTTCATCCTCCTCCTCCTTCCCTCCGTCCTTTTGAAAAACAAAACAAAGACCCCCCACTCTACAGCTAGCAACTCAGCTCCCTCACTCACTCTCACCTTAAGCTTTCCTCCGGTCGCCGTCCGGTCAATCTCCTCACCCGAAAAGTTTCTTCTTCACATGCACTATGGATTGCTACGAAGCTACGAAGACAGTGTTCTCAAGGATCCAAGGATTGGACCCAGAGAATGCTTCTAAAATCATGGGCTACCTCCTGCTGCAGGATCAAGGAGACCGAGAGATGATTCGGCTGGCCTTCGGACCTGATTCTTCCCTCCACAATCTCATCCTCCAAGCTAAAACCCAATTGGGTTTGCCGATTTCCCCATCGTCTTCGTCTTCCTCGTCCTCGAATTCCACAATTTCGTTCTCCTCTGTTTCGAATTCCAACACTCCTTCGACGCCGTCCACTCCTTCCTCGCCTTCCCCTTTCCTCAGCTCGAGACCCAGCGCGCTGAGAATCTCCAGCGCCGGTGGTTGTGGGGTGTTCGACAATGGGTCGTCTCCTTCTGCTGCTTCTTCCAGCCCTTCGCTTTCCTACGCCAATGTCGTCAATGGAGGGAGTAACGGTAATGGGAATGGGTATAATTATGTGGGGAATGGTAACGGGAACGGGAGCGGTTGTGTTGGTGGTAATGATTTGGGTATTGATGAGTTTCAAGTTCACCGTGACCACTTCTCTTTCCTCGACGAGAGTAGTAATGCAGACCAGGTGTTCGATCCAAGGCCTGACTGGGGGAATCTCTTGAGCCCAACAGCTGGCGGGTGTCATGACGATGGTATTAGTTCACATTTCCACCGGCGGAGCTTCTCGGTTCCCGGCGTGTGCTTTGGATCCGGCGGTGGTGGTGGGTTCGGGTGGAAGCCCTGCTTGTACTTCGCCAAGGGGTTCTGCAAGAATGGGGCGGCCTGCAAGTTCCTTCACGAAGGAGAGACTGCTGCTGTTTCTGATGGTCTCAATGGGTTTGAACAGTGCCAGGACTTCCTCATGAGATCGAAGTCGGCTGTTCATCAGCAGAAGTTAGCTGCTGCTGCTGCTGCTGCCTCGCAGTTCATGGCTAGTCCTGCAGCTTCTAATCTTTCGTATAATAAGTGCATGAATTTGCTTCTGCAACAAAGTGATGCCCAGAGGTGAGTTCCTCCGTTGAATTAGTAATTTTTGTTTGGTTAATTGGACATGACTGAGAGTGTTTCAATTTCCTGCTTAATAGATCAGCTGCAGCGGCTGCATTGTTGATGGGGGATGAGCTTCACAAGTTCACCCGGTGCCGACCGGAGAGGACAACCGATTTCTCACCGTTGGGATTGAGTGGAGGGATACTGAACCCAAGTGCCAGGCAGATCTACTTGACGTTTCCAGCCGACAGTACATTTAGAGAAGAGGATGTTTCCAATTACTTCAGGTACTTTGGCTGTCTGTGATGGTTACTCGTGCCATTCCCAATCCTAGTTTCATTTTCCTCTTCTTTTTTATTCCTGTGCGCTAAAGTTGGGATCTTTTTCTTGGTTTTGAAGCATTTATGGGCCAGTGCAAGACGTGAGAATCCCATACCAGCAGAAGAGAATGTTTGGGTTCGTCACGTTCTTGTATCCAGAGACAGTGAAGCTCATCCTGGCCAAAGGAAACCCTCACTTTGTCTGTGATTCTCGTGTGCTTGTCAAACCATACAAGGAGAAAGGCAAAATCCCTGAAAAGTACTTCTCCACAATCCGACCCGACCCATCTCTTTCTCTCCCTTAATTGTGTTCATGATCTGATGATTATGATGTACAATTAACTGTTCCAGGAAGCAACAGCAGATGGAGAGAGGAGATTTTTCGCCCTCAGCTTGCTCAAGCCCACGTGGGCTTGATTCCAGAGAGCCATTTGACCTTAATCTTGGTCAGTAGAACTGTAATGAAAGAGAACAATCAAACAAGGAAGAAGCTTCGTTTCTTTCATCTTCATTCAAGATTCCCTAGTTTTTACTGTTGTGGTTCTTACCAAATTACAGGGGCCAGAATGCTGTACAGTACTCAAGAGATGTTGCTGAGAAAGAAATTAGGGGAACAAACTGATCTACAGCAGGCCATTGAACTTCATGGCAGAAGGCTGGTGAGTCTACAGCTTTTGGACCTGAAAAACCACCACCGTCAGCAGCTCCTTAATGGTCTCTCCAATAGGTCTCCAGTTTCATCCCCAACTGGCTTGGCTCGTAGTTTCAGCCATCCAGTCCAAGTTAGTAGCATTGACCAAGACGGCCTATCTATTCCTCCAGCTGAAGGTTTCAAACTCATCATTGCTTTTAAATTTATTACCCATTCAGATCCATGTGGGTTTCAACTTTCATGCTTCTGCAACGACTTTATGGAGTGATAATGAGAGCTATTGATTTAATTTATATTATTATGGTGCAGAGAATGGAAGTTGCCTGCATGATGATGGTGGAGCAGTAGCTTCTGTAAATGCTGTTGTAGGAGGTGTTGGTCGAGAATTGAATCCTGCTTGCAGCCAAGGCGATGGAAATGGCAATGAAGAGAAATACTTCACTGAACAAAATGGTCTCCAAGAAAGGTAAGAACTTTTGTTCAAAACTTTTGCGATAGGGAAAGGGAACATTACCCACAATGGCCAATACTACCAATTACATTGTGATTAATGAGTTTGATGTTAAGAGATAAATAATCTGAGGATGAAATGGCTGGATTAGAAAAGTTGAAATGTAACTCTTTTGTTTTCTTACCATTTTCAGTGTGAAAGATACCATTAAAAGATGTGGGTTTTATAAAGTGACCAACAGACCAAGATAGTTCTTCAACTTTTTTTGCTTTTAGGAATGATAAATTGTTGAAAGATTAAGAAAAAGTGCTAATGTGAGGTTTACAGCAATTAAAAGTTGGATTTGTTTAGTAAAAGATTAGATGTGGTATGTACTTTATTGATTATCAAGTATTTTGCAGTTTGGAACATATCCACCACCTCCCAGATAACCTCTTCAATTCTCCCAAGAAAGCTGCCGGTGACCATCTCAAGTCTGCCTTCTCTGCTTCTCTTGAAGTTCATGAGATTCCCACCACCACCACTACCTCTTCTGCTCTCAACATGACCCCTTTGAAGTCCTGTTTTCCCCAAATGCCCAGGTAACACATTTAACCCTACAAAAGCTGGTGCCTTTATGGCCCTCTTTCATATTTTATTACCCTTTTCTCAAAAAACACTCAGAGGGCTTGAGACTGAAACAAAGCATGCAACTTTTTTTCCCCCTTCATCAGGCTTTCCTCTGGGTATGGAACCATTGGCATATAAAAGAGCCCCAGTTAATAAAGCCTTGATCTTGGAATTGACTTCGGTAGAGTAAGTAAGGAAAAAAGATTTACCACATGGGTTTCTCTTATTAATCATGCATAGGATTCTATTTTGTGCACATGCAAAGCAGATAGACAACATGTACTGTTCTCATGATGTTGGCCTGTTTTTGTTGATTCCTTTTTTTTTTTCTTTTTTCTTTCTTGCTGCAGAATTATTGGAGAAACACTGAAAAAAGGTCCAGATGATGACTAGATGGGAGAATATGTATCTCAAACTCATCATCGCCATAATCATCGGTTAGCTGTATATCCCAAAACCCATAATACCCTACAAGAAAGGAAAACATATCTGTAGACAAACAAGGCCTTGGGAGCAAGATCACCATCATCAATACATACTACTTACAACAACAAAATACATAATGCATACATTGAAAGTAAGAAAAAAGGACAGAGGAAACACTCTACTATTTCTACTGATCATATTTGCTCTTTTCTTTTTTTAACTTTTCTTTACTGTTGGGAAGAGGATCATTTCATATTCATATCATCATATATGTGTTTGAGAGAGAGGATGGGGTCTTTCATTTTTCAAATTGCTGTCCTCTTTCTCACTGTGTAGGTAATGAGCTGGACCACACAGCAATCATATATATATAGCTGGAAGTGTAGAAAATAAACAAAAGACCTTGTTGTTGTTAAGTAGTAACAGTAATAGAGTTGGTCTAAAAAATGAATAGATCTCTCTTTCCCATTTGTGTAAGTTTTTTGTTTTTACTATTCAATATGAGAAATTTGGAAAAAAGTTATCTCTTTCCTTCCCTAGTTGAGTTCTTTGTGTTCATAGATTAGATTGTGCATTAGATTATGGGTTTGCAGGAGGCAGTTTTTCCCTTCTTTTACTGCTGCTGTATGTTGGTAAATTAAGCTGAAGGCCAAGTAAGAGGATGTTGGGATAAGGGTTGTTGAGAAAAAAGGCTGCTTTCAGTTAAGTTAGGTGATTTACACACTTATGCGTTAGTAGTATGCATCTGTCACCCAATTTTTCAGATCGTGGAGATTGGATTTGCAGTTTGCAGGCAACAGAGGGGAAAAGGTGATTGATTCTGATGAATAATGACTTGATGAGCAAGAAGAAGCTCTAAAAATTCAGTTTTCTTTTTAATTTGAAAATGAAGATAGAGAGGGGGAAAAAAGGCTACTTTTGATTAGAGAGAGGAGGTGGTGGTGGTGGGGGACTCCTTTGTCTCATATTGTGGTTTCTTTTTAGGTTTGGATGACATGAATGGCTGAGGCCTGAGGGGTCACATTGTCACATGACCTTCTGACAAATTTAACTTTAATCCTATAAACTCATTCACCAGTCACCACTCAATTTTCCAACTACATAATTCCAACTTTTAACCCCCTGCTGGTTCACATTTCAATTGCAAGTTCATCACTTGGTTGGTTTTGGACAAAAAGTTTGATAGGGTAAAAAGAGGAAAATGATTTGAGTAACTTGGACAATAGTCACATGCAAAATGTTCCATAGGGTAAAATTGGTTTCCTCAAACTTTTTTCTTTTTGCATGGACAGAATGACCATCTCTTCCCTGATGTCAATGAATGTATGACTGTGAATTATTACCCTTTTTTAGAAGTTATATAGATCACTACTGTTAGGGCTGGCTATTTGGTCCCGGACTGTTTGGTTTTACTCGAAAACGGACCGTATTACCCGGACCGGACTGGGACCAGATAGCAAACAATGCAATCTCATATTCGAGCTTAGATTTGAGGTAAAAAAAAACCGGATAAGAGACCCCCAACACCTAAAATCAAGATAAAATCGGGACCGGACCGGGTCAAGACCGGACTGTATCCAATCCAATCTTTGGTCCTTATATTCCCGAAAAGACCGAACTGAGACCGAATCAATTTGGTCCAATTTAACCGGACCGGACCTTATAGCCACCCCTAACTACTGTAGTATACGAGATTTGTTTTAGACACATGTCGTTTGAGGAAAGGATTGTTACTGTCATGCCCTCCATTTTGATCTCGGGGGAGCGACTTTTCGAAGTACTCTCTGTTTTGCGCATTATACGTCTTATATGCCTGTATTGCGTTACTGATACCGTATATCAATTGAGAAAACGAATTTGTTGTTTCGCTATAGTGGTAAGTAAGTAAGTAAGTGTGTTTTTCTCAAAAGTTATGAGGGATTAACTTGTCAATTGTAAGTTAGGTGCTTTTGTTTTGTTCCAATTTACAGCATCAACTATTGGTTGTGCCCTTGTTTCTGCCAACAACTAGAAGGAGAGGGGAGCATAAGGATACAAATTTAGGACCACCAATGGTGGGGTTGCAATATGTCTATATTCTCCAATTGAGAGGGTTGGCATCAAGCTTCTGAGTGACCACCACTCTTCATTCATAGTTTGTAGGGGAAGAGAGGTTGAGATGTCAAAATCATGCAAAAACCCTAACCTCTCATGTTTATATCCTCAAAGAGAAAACAGCTTTGGAGGGACTTTAGAACTCCCTGTGAAATGCTGAGAGAATATGTTAGGGGGGCTTTCCCCACCTTTAGTTAATGTATTAACAACAGTACTAATGTACATTGCAATAATTTCCAAATTAGGCAACCTGATTTGGCCTTTCTTATGTTGGCATGAGATTACACCCCCATTAGATATGATTTGTTGCGTGGATGGTAAACTATGGTTAATGTCATATCTCGTGTATGTGCGCACACTTGGTAAAAATTGCTAACTTTTGAGGAGGAATGAACAACTTTTTGCCTATCGTTCAATTGGTTACTTGTACTTTTGTAGAATTAAACGACGTTCTACTTGTCCTGATATCCCCGTCAACTTTCTCTTGCTTGGAGTCATTGTATATAAAATTATATATATGGTGACTTATAAGAATCACTCACAAATATGAGTTCCAGCCTTAAAGCATTGAATTTTGAATTTCAATTAGGTATATTATTCAAACATGAAGATGTAAAATAAGATCACAACCATTACTCTAAACCCTAAAGTTTCAATTTTGAACCCTAATCATAAGTCATAACATCATATTATAAATCCTATACCCTAAGTCCCTAACCCATCCCCTAAATCAATAGACCTAAACAAGTGAGTATACCAAAAAAATTTATGCACCAATGTACAACAATTATGATGGTAAACATTATTGGAACCCAAACATTAATGACTATACATATTTCGAGGCTCCCAAAAACCTTCCTCCTGCAACAGTGAGAACAGTAGCAGTTTATTGTTTTATTGTTGGGAGCCCCATCGCAGACAAAATAATTGTTATTTATTTGGTTATAAAGAGGGAGCATAGTTACAAATATGAAGTTAAGGGACAAAATTTGTAGAACGTACATTGTTTTGTAGTATCAAGATGGATCACTCTCTTTCATTGCGTTGCCTTGCCTTCTCAGTGTCTGGATTTGTACAATAAGACCAGACTGGTCAATTCATTTCTCTTCCCACCCACTTTCCTCTATGTGGATAACTAGATAATTACGCATGTTTCTTTTAAAACGGGGTTACCATCTCATTATAACGAACGAGTTAAAAGTGTGATTCTACGGATAAGCGTTTTTAGTAATTTAGAATCGTAAATAGCTAAGTTTTTTAAATTTTAAAATACAATTTTGATTAAATTAGTTAGGAAAATGCAAGTCTATGTAGAAGTGTTTCGATGACTTATACGCATAAGCTTTTAAACTTTATAGTGCAATTTTGACTACATTGATTATTGATGTAAAATGGCAAAAAGTTGACTCGGTGTGTGGTATTTTGTGAATGTTATTTGTCTAGCATGTTGTATAAATAAGGGGTTTGTAGAAGTTCGAATATGGAGTACGATTTTCAATGCATTGTTGATCTCGACAATAAGAGGACAGGTTTGATACGGCTGTATGTCACTCTCTAGCCTCTTCACTGTTATTAGGCGCAAATTTGTGGAAGAATGGCTGGTTACAGAGGTGTGCAACCAGTTTGAACCAAACCAAACTAATTAGAACTGCAGTCAAATAGTAAAAGACATGATACGGTCAATAATCGGACCGAAATTGCATTCGGACCGCTTTGGTCCGGTATAAATGTCATCTCGATCCATTGTTCTTCAGTATTTGATATTTATAAAATTCATTGGACTAAAGATCGAACCACATTATATTTTGTTTGATATGGTCTCGTCCAAGCGTCGTTTTGCTCCGGTGCGGTAAGATAACGAACCAACCCATTCGACACCCCTAGCAGGTTAATATTGCATATACATACCGAGAAGGAATAGAATGATGAATTGACTCTTGAATCATAATCATGGCGTATGTCCCCTACAATTTCACGAGTTTATTAATTCATCCTCGGTCGAGCGCCTGCGCTCTTTTTTATTCTTTATTGGATATTTTATTTGTGTGTTTAAGTGTCTATCTATCTATAAAATATATAAAGGCTTTTCCAAAAACTACCTTCACCATTTCAAAATTCCAGCCCTCCTACGCATCCACGTCAGCACCCTTCCGACCAATCAGATTTTTTCTTAACTTCTTTTTTTTCTTTTAAGTTTTTCTATACCCCAATTAAAATGTGCCACTTAACACACACACACTTTCTCTCTCTCTTCTTTTTCAATCTCCCCTACTATTCTTAATTGATCCATATTTATTTCGCTTCAACTCCGAATTTAAATATTATTGCGCGAAAAAATAAGATTTTAAGTGATCTACACAAGGATACCCATTTTGATATATGTTTTTTTTAAACATAGCCACAATCATATATTTACAAGGCATGTTCCTATTCGATAGTTGCAAAACTATATCAATGTACCGCCATAAAGTATATACTAACATAGATCGCAGAACAAATTTCTTATTCTACTGAGTTACTAAATTATATCAATGTTTAATTTTGTAATATCATAATAATAATGCACAACAATTTCATGGGTGCTAAAATATTGTCGTGCGGTACAAACTAATTTACCTTAAAAAAATCATTTAGCGGCCAAGTGGTCGGATTCAAATGTATACACGATTCGGAATGAGAGAGGACAATGACAGACTAAACAAAATAGACACCTTAGGAGAAAAAAAAATACCAAAGTACATATTTCAAACAAAATTTACCCGGCCAACGAACCGGGTACCAAACTAGTGTATTAATTGTACTTTAAGTGTTTTAGTACTTTTTTTTAGCGGACACTTTATGTGTTTTAAGTGGTTTGTATCATGGTAATTTTAATAATTCTTATTATTATTGAACCAAAGGAAGGAAAAATACATGAAATCATAAATAAAATGCAGCAAAATATAAAAAATATGGATAAGAGTTAAAAGATAGAAAATTACATTGGTCGAACTAAAATGATAAATATTTAGTTAGCTAAGGACACACTGCATGAAAAACATATTTCTATTTTGTCGCCTTATATATTCCACAAAAGCTCGACAGAATCATCATTTAATGTGCGATGTATTTGACGATTACGAATCCTACCATGTCAAATAATTTACTAAATGAGAGTTGGAATGTCATGCTCTGATGGATCAAATGTGACATTTGGATTAATCTCATATTCAAGCCTCTTCAATCGTTCTTATTCAAACTCACACCTGTGATCTTCAACTTCATATTGTCTATAAATTACACATGTTAATATAACTTCCCCTATTGATTGGACATTGCAAAACTGACTAGGTCGCCTATCAATGGCCCATATTTCTTGTAGTATAATAAATTCTTTCTCAACATCTTTCCATTTGCCTCTTGCCATTTTGCGATCAAGTTTGCACGCATATTATCTAGCAGGTGAATATCTAATGAACGAATAGTTGCGGACAGAGAGAAGTATGTGGTTGTGAGAATGAATGTTGAATTGTGGAATAAGTACACAGATCGAGTTCATGCTCTCACTTATAAGAACACAAGTCATTATGATAAAGCATGATGAAGAGTTGATGACACAAACCACTATCATAAGATTTCATTAACATGTGATGTCATAACTCATTTTGATAAAATCGATTGAACAAAAAATGTCATAACGCAAATACACACTCATCTTCCATTTTTTCTCCTTCTCCTATTGTGGCTCTTGTAACCTCACTCTCTTCTTTCGAATTTGGCTTCGAGAAAGTGAAAACAAATGAAGAACAAATACCATGCAGTCGAAATAAGTGTTGCCTATTTTCGAAAAGATCGAACCAAAACAACCTAAACTAATATTTTGATCACATGACGAAACTTATGATTAATATATGTTAGTATCATCCAATTAAACTGAACATGATTGCAATGAGATATTGGTCGTGATATGCACTACCATGATGGTAATTTCTCGAGGATTACATCAATTTGAAATACATGTATTTCTGTTTAAGGAGTATGAACAAATAATAAGGCCCCCAACACCCTTAACTCTCATCACAGAGCAATTGGGGTAGACCATTATATATACTCAATACCAAACAAACATATGTTTTCCACAATTAGACACACTTGGTGCAAAATCAATTAAGCACACTATATAAAGAATTCGAGGGAAAATAATATTTGGCATTTTATCATATACTCAACAATAACAATAATGACTTAACCCTTTTATCTTATTAATTAATCCATGATCCCTACTCTCTGGTCTTTCACTTTCCTTTTTCCTCTTATTATTATTATTTTTGTATTTTTTGTAACCATAATATGATTTGTACCTTTGCATCAACCACTAAATACACAGTTTCTTTATGTCCAATTCCAATTTAGAACATCAGGAAAAAATAAACATTTTGTGATTACTGAATAGGACATTGTCTTCGAATTTGTATCATTATTTTGACAAATTTGACTTATTTGTTTCTGGTAGCTTTCCCCCTAATTTTAGTCAATAATTGGCCTAAGAGTTTTTTTTTATTACCCAGGAACCTCAGCCCCACGTGCCACTTTGTGACAGCGGATCCTACTAAACCTAGGGGCCCCTTCGCCCCGAGCAGCCTTGTACATCCGAGAATACCAACGGGCCTCGCTTGGATTCGAACCTGGAATATGCAACTCTCAAACCTTCACTGTCGCAACAGCTTTACCGTTAGGCTGTCTTACCTTTGATAGCCTAAGAGTTCATAGGTTCTACCATTATAGAAAAACATACAAGAAAAAAAAAACAGCAATGTTCTCTAATTTGATATTTCATCCAATTGAACTGCACAAATGGCATCACAATTCACAACCCATAAGACCAATTTCATTGTTAACAGTACTTAACACTAGGTTGTTGAGGCCCATCCACGATCCCAACCCGCAGCAGGCCCACTATTCTCGAGTCGGAGGCCTGTCCTGGACTCCATTCCCATTTCCCTACAAAGCCCAATAAGGGTAAATACAAAATTCACTTCGAAAAAGGAGTAATTTCTCGGAAACTCATTCATTCGACGGTAAAATACTAAAATTTACATTTATCCGTGACTACTTCTGACCGGTCAAATCCCGAGCATGAGCAATATTTAAAGCATGGGCTTTGACCAGTGACCCAAAATCGAACGGTGGATAATGGCCCATGGACAATAGTGCGAACGCTCATTGGGCAAACACTGGATTGCAGCCCAGTCGATGAATACACGTATAGAGAGGGATTATAGACCATCCTCGATATCCGCGAAAATTACAAGTTTAGTCCCTCTCACGCTCAAAACCCGGCTCTTCCTTCCCCGCGCGCTCTCTCTCTCTCTTCTCACTTTCCAATCCTGTCATTTGTAATTGGTACTTTCTAGAATATCCTCCACCCCCGAATTATTTTATAATTTATTTATTTACCACTGTTTTTTTTTTAGTTAAGCATGTTTCCTCTTGAAATTTGTTACTATTTTAGGGTACCAAATCCTGATTTTTCTGATCATTCATTGATACATAAAGAAGGTTCTTAAGCGGAAAAAACACATACTAAGAAATAATCAATTTTGATGTGTATTCTAAAAAATAATCAATTTTTTTTAACTCGTGAATGTGTTAGATTGCGTATGAATCGTATTGTGTAGGTTCTATTTGAATATACATAATTTCATCAATTGATATTGTTGATTGTTGTACTTTTTTTTTATTCTCGAAGATACATAATTACGGAGCTAACGAAATTGTTCCACGTGTGGCTGTTTTTTTTTACGGGAATCACAAATGTTAGAAACTAGAGTGTTGTCCTGATGTGGAGAATACTTTCGTGCTTCCTACGCGTTCATGTGTTTCGTATTATAACCCTATTTAAATTTTGTTTATGCTGTCAGCGATTTTCTGGTGTCTCTTTGAAAATTTGAGGCACCAACCAATACTAAAAAACGCGATAACTATTTTGATGTATTCGTTCGTTTTAAAATTCGTATTACGTTTTGTTTCGCGCGACGTGTGCTTTATTTAAAAACAGAGGAAAGAGCCCCCTCCCTCCTTGAAAACATCCAACCCTCCAAAATACTCACAGGATCTGGTTTGGTTTCATATTCAGCGGTTTAATAGAAAAATCCTAACAGAAACAATTTTCAACAAAATTTTGAAAAGAAGAAAAGATACGAAAAAGCTGAAAAATAGGGGAAAACAGAGCACAGCAGCACCAACTCCCCCTCGCAAAGGGCAATCAATCCCCTCCCCTTCAACTTCTCTGCCTTTCTGTCTCTCTCTCTCTTCTTCTCGAGCAGAGGCAGTGTGAAGAAAGGTAAAGGTAGAGAGCGGAGGAGAAAGACCCAAAAAATAGCTTCAGTCTGTTTCTTTTGCTGCCATGGATCCTTATGAGACCACCAACTTACTCCTGTCGAAGATCAAGACCATAGACCCGGACAACGCCTCCAAAATCATGGGCTACATCCTCATACACGACGTGGGTGAGAGGGAGTTGGCCGGTCTCGCTTTCGGCCCGGAGACGTTCCTGCTCGGCGTCATTGCGAAGGCGAAAACCCACTTGGGACTTTCGCCGAACACCTTGTCTGCAACTGCGCCTTCAACTCCCTCTTCCCCGCTCAATCCTATCTCCAGGCCAGTCGTTTTTGGTGGGTGCGGTAGGGGTAACAACCCATTTTCCCATTCTTCTCCTAGGCTTCCCGGACCTGGTGGTGGGCCTTTCGTTGATTTTGCGAGGAACCCTTCTCCGCATTCTTGGCCGGTATCTGGGTTTGCAGCGGTTAGCGCTAATAATAGCAACTGTAGTGGCGGCGGAAGTAGCAGCAACAGTACCGTTTCGCTCAGTCCCAAGTCGAGTCCTTTCTTGTCTTACGATAGCATACGCGCTGGTTCGTTCAAGGGAGCTGCATTCTCGAAGTGTGGTGGCAATGG